GGGGGGGGTCGAAAGTGCACATGCCACAACCTTTTACAAAGTGCATTCAACATGGTATTATGTATATGATGTCAGTTAACAATTATTCATTTTACTATACATTGCTAATTTAGCAATTGTTCACCATAGAAGAGAGTAGAAACCACATACAATATACAGGGACACTGAAAAAATAACCTTGCACTCTGAGATGTCAGCCTGATGTTGTCAATTCAGACATATCTTGAGAATAAATACTTCTGCAACACATCTGACTTTTTGTATATAACAGATTTGTACATTTTACTCAGAGTCTGTCAAATTTCGTATAGATACACATAGTAAGTTTGGAATTACACTCAATATTCCTTTTCCAATATGGGGTAAGTCTAATGTTTACCTGACATATAAATTAACTTGATGTACGTTAACCTGTTTACCTGATATAAAAGTTAACCTGATGTATGGCAACCTGTTTACCTGACATACAAGTTAACTTGATGTACATTAACCTGTTTAGCTGACATACAAGTTAACTTGATGTACGTTAACCTGTTTATCTGACATACAAGTTAATTTGATGTACGTTAACCTGTTTATCTGACATACAAGTTAATTTGATGTATATTAACCTGTTACCTGATATACAAGTTAATCTGATGTATATTAACCTGTTACCTGATATACACATTAACCTGATGTATGGCAACCTGTTTACCTGATATATAAGTTAACCTGATATACGTTAAACTGTTTACCTGATATATAAGTTAACCTGATATACGTTAAACTGTTTACCTGATATATAAGTTAACCTAATATACGTTAACCTGTTTACCTGATATACAAGTTAACCTAATATACGTTAACCTGTTTACCTGATATATTTTAACCTGTTTACCTGATATGTCAGACACTTTCACTAAAGAAGCCTTTGGAAATTTTGTCTTTAAAATCCTTATGATTTCTTCTTCTCCCTTGGTTAAAGTAGTCTTGTCTGAGAAATACCTAAAATACTTTAAAAAATAAAACATTTACTATCTAATCACAAACTAACAGCATCTCTCCCATAAATCTACATAAAAATTAATATGATGTTTTCAAAACTACTTTTTTTTACATTTCTCAAAGTTTAATAACCTGATACAGAATGAATAAAATTTCATTCCCTTTCCTTATAAGTCATCTGAAAACTTTTGAGTCTTGGAAGTATATCTAAACTAAAGACAAATTTTAATTTATTTTTTAAGAACCTTTTTATCCTGTACTAGTTGTAACTTGTAGTTTTTTTTTAATTTTCTAAACATTATCACATATAAATTATAATCCCACAAGTAATTAGCTTAAAATACATAGCTGATATAATGTTTAATAGTGATGCTAATAGCAGTATTATTAAAATAAAAACAAAGTAATACAAATTCCAGATACACGATATTGTTATTGCTAATAATAATAATAGTGCATATTCAGAACTGTTACAATATTACTGAATATTACTATTAGTGTTAATTTTTAAAATCAAGTTTTACGTTAACTTAATGTAAATCTATACACAACTATAACACATACATTATTCTGTAAAAACCTAGTCAAGAATCTAGACATTTTGTTACTCTGTATGAATGAAAATATTTAAAATGAGAAAAAACACTAAACTTTAGTAAATTACATTCCTATACGAAAAACGTTGTGAAAAGACTCATATGGCAGTAACCTTAGATTTTGTACCACTAGATGTCAAAAAAGTCATTTCACTCTCTGCAAACTGAGAATCTACATTATTTGTTTCTATTTATTCATTTATGTTTAAAATGCTGTGATAAACGCAAAGTTTATTTTATAAACAATTTCTACTTTTAAGCTAATATATAGGGTGGAAAGAAACAAGACATATTTGCTTAAGAAGAATATACTAATTCTTAGAAAAACATCTTAGAATCAGAAAATCTAAGTATTCACTAATTTTTCAAATTTATCGTAAATATTTTTAAACAGTATAATGCGAACCCGATCCCGTTATTAAATAATTTACGAAAGTGGACATTTGGATAACTGCTATACAGACCGATTTTTAATTACACATATTGTATGCTTGATATTACAATAATTCTAAAAACTTATGAATAAAAGCAAAGTATAATACACCAACTACAGTACATCTGGCATATTCAGTGCCGACGAGGTATTTCGCCCATTAATGCTGTTTTAACATTCCATTTGTAACGAATTTGTTATTTTATATTTATTTTAATATCAACGTTTGTTCAGATTAAACTTATATATTAAAACATGCATAGCTTGTAGTGTTAAATATTGTTAAATCTCCAGTCGTTACTTAATTTTCCGTAAATTCGTTCCGACGAAACTTTAGCGACACAAGTCCTTTCTTAAATAAAACTGGTTTATTCTTTCCGAATACAACTTTACGATACACTTAATTTCAACAGTCGCGCTATAACAACGAACGTGCTCAACTTCAACAATACTCTGACTGCAGTTCAATTACTCACTACACTGTTTCCGTCACGTTGTGACCATCTTATATATACCAGCCTACTCTCAATCTAGTAATCTCCCGATAATTCACGAAGGTTCGAGAGAAGGAGTGGCGTGATACTAGTCACGTGACCTCGCTGACGCAACACTTCCCCCCTCCTTAGTATTGTTCGTCCCGAACAATAGCCACTTACAACAAACCAATAACAATTAACAATAACTTAATTAAATGTATAGAATTACAATTCATCAAAGTCTCTTAATTTTACGTGACGTATCTTCTTCCGTACTGGTCTCCGTCTCGTTGGCTACTGCTTCACGTGGGGTTCATCTGCTTCATCAGGAAATGTCCTATCGTCGGTAACAGTCACATCAGTGGTAGTAACTTCATCAAGAGCTTCACCGTTTCCTTTCTAAAAACCTAGTAGAGTTTCTTCTTCGACGCTGGCTTTTTCAGGTGACACTTCTTCAGTAGCGTCATTTGTTCTGTTTTCCACTTCATCCCAACTGAAATGTCCTGGAC